ATGTATATTTAAATAGGCTACAATAATTTATCTTATATTTATTGATTTTATCATTAAAATACGATATGTTTAATGCTGATTTAATTTAATTTATAAATAATTACTATGCATTAATTTTATATTTAAATTTTTTTTATTTTGTAAATTTTGTCAATATAATATATTGTACAGTTTAAAAATTATTGATTAATCCAATTATCAGGAAATAAGTGATACAAAACTTGCAGCAATAGTCGTAAAAATGATAGGTATTAATGGGAAATAATTGCCAACACGTGAACCCACTACAGGTACCGGTCGACAGGCGCTCATTCACTCGCATTATATACAGACACTGTCTCAATGATAGGCCATACGATTGGAGGCAATTGGAGAGCAATTCGTGTAAATGCGGCCGAAACTGGTGGACAGCCGTATGAATGGTAGCGCATAAGTAGTTCAACATAAACATGAATAGTATTGAGTTTATCATCGAAAATATAAACGCAAATCTCACTATTGGGTGAGTATTTTGCTGTTGACATACATATAAAAACAGACTGACCAGGGGAGTGCATAGTAAATATATGGTAAATATACCCTTTTGAAACATTCGGTTTAAATCATTGATTAACGTAGCGATATGATTGTGCTGGCTCATAGTCCTCATAAAGAGACCAATGTTGGACACACTTTGCATAAACTTTTCATTGAGCTCTCGTAACTGATAGCCCAGGTATACGATAAATGCATACCATAATACTATAGCGGCTATTATAAAGACCATCATGCGATATATACCCAGCGATGTTACTATCGCCCAAAATAGCACCGGGATCAGTGTGAATTGTTTACTTCCCTCGAAATAGGCAACTATTATAGAGCCGACAAACACCAGATTTGTTAGAAATACTGTTGAGTAGAAAAGTCCGTTCAATAGGTATTTGGACATAAAATTCACTTTAAGTCCATATTTACTGTTATTTTCAGCGCTTATTTGAATGATATAGAGCCGACAAACACCAGATTTGTTAGAAATACTGTTGAGTAGAAAAGTCCGTTCAATAGGTATTTGGACATAAAATTCACTTTAAGTCCATATTTACTGTTATTTTCAGCGCTTATTTGAATGTCATTTTTCTTACGTCTGATATCATTGAGAAACTGGACTACAGTTAAGGTATGATTCTTTTCATGGTATGAAAAAACCATATCTGTGGTCAGGGGTACGGCTACGCACAGGGATGCCAAAGTGGACAGTATTCGAGGGCTGGCCAATAGGTAGTTGGCGTTTGCCATCAAACGTATGACATGTATATTAGCGCCAAATACGGCTGATATAATAAATCGTAGAGTTGTTAATAATAATGATAATCGCATTATAAATATGATCATGGTCCTTCGACGCGAGGGTTCAATGTTATAACAGTAGTCATTGAAACTGTTTGATACAAATACGTAGTGTTTTGTACAGAATTTGTTGATTTGTTGCAAACCAATAGCCGGGTTATTATTGTCGTCAATAAATGTGTTAAACTTTGTGATGGCTTTTAGTTTTAAATTTATAAAACTCTTATTACTTTTCATTTTTTAAAGTTTTAGATTTTAAACCTCGCACTGAAATTAAAATAGTTTTCTATCTACAGTAGTAAATAAAAATCAGTTCAGTTTAAGACTTAAAGTGTATATATACTTAAGACAATATTTTTAGTGCGAGTATTTTAAGTATTGATTGTTTTGATTTTAAGGGAAATGACATAAAAAGTATTTTCAAAAACCTTATTAATGATTTTATTTTTGTTGATTTTTGATTATATTTTCAGTATTTTAGTCTTAAAGTGCGAGTATTTTAAGTATTGATTGTTTTGATTTTAAGGGAAATGACATAAAAAGTATTTTCAAAAACCTTATTAATGATTTTATTTTTGTTGATTTTTGATTATATTTTCAGTATTTTAGTCTTAATCGTGATAGTAAAACATAAATTCATAAAAACCCAAATGAATAATAAAATTTCATTATGCATTGTACTAACGATTCAAAGAAATACTGTATACCTTAATTATCATTAACTATAAAAGTAATTATTAAAATAATTAAAAATATAAGAAATCACAGATAAATCATGAATTCATTAAAAAATATAATTGTATTATATTTTGCTAATTCAATTTAATGTATTGTTACATAATATAATTGAGATTTACAAACATGAAATTAATTAACTATGTTTATATTCATATCAATTATAATATTATTAAAAGGTTACGAAATTGTCCTGTTCATTGTTCATATGAAAGAAATCTATTTTTGATACTTTATTATATCAATAGAGTGTTTCCCTTTGAGTATTACCGGGATGCCTACAATTTCCTATACAATTTCGACAAAACAATAAGTATAATACCGGGTCCACTGATCTCTAGCCTACAAATTGATTTTTATGAGTAATATATAATTTTTGTATTTATATGTTTGTGAATATAATATTAATATAATATAATATGAGCCGGTCGAAAGTATAAATGCCTCTAAGTTGGGAACATCGAGGCACGAATCTCGATTGATTGGTTTTAATTGTTATGATTAGTTAGCCAGTCACACAATTAACATTTTGAATTGACTAAACTTGGCGAATCAAGTAAATTAGCTGGCTAAATTTACGTTTAACTATCGCTGACATCCTCATTTTGTGATTGACATAACATAAGTTTTATGGACTGTACATAAGTTGAATTGTGTAATTGTATGGGACTGCTTTATGCCATTAAACAAAATATAATTTTAGCAATAATTACCGATATGTGAACACAAAATAGTATAACATTATACACTATTAAATCTAATGATATATCAATGACAAAATGAGGATACCAGCGATAGTTAAACGTAAATTTAGCAAGCTAATTTACTTGATTCGCCAAGTTTAGTCAATTCAAAATGTTAATTGTGTTACTGGCTAACTAGTCATAACAATTAAAACCAATCAATCGAGATTCGTGCCTCGATGTTCCCAACTAAATATTTTTATAATGTGTCTAATAGTCATACGAATATTTAGTAAGCAATGTATAAGGGGCACAAATAGACTCAAGCACAAAACTAAATATAAGTGTATAAAACATTAGAGGCCTTTATACTTTTGACCGGCTCATATTGTGTTTATAATATAACAGTTATTTTATAACATTTATATCAGCTATACTATTATATTTTACAACTAATAATATTATTCATGTTAGGATTTGAAATTAACATGTATTTTACTATATATTACACAATACATGTCAATCCATACACAACTAGTATACAGTAAAAAGATGGCATAAAAATAATTGTTTGAGGAATATCTGAAAGTTTTGTAAAACTTTGAGTCACTATTGGCTAATAGTGAACAACTGTTTGTAAATGTGGTCTCACGTTTGGACCGTACTATTGGCTACTTTTGGCTATTCTTGGGAACCTCTTGTGAGAGATTGTGGACTGAAACTCAAATTGAGTTCACTTTCAGGTTAGCGTAAAAACAGATTGGTTGACAATGTTTTATGTATTGAATGCCGATTATATATCTGACTAGCCAAAGCCAAACGTAACTCTGAAAAGTTGCTTTAATTTCTTCTTGAAACATTGCTTTTCTGTAAAGTTTGAAATTTATAATGTTTAATATAAGTAATTTTCAAACTTTACATAAAAGCAATGTTTCAAGAAGAAATAAAAGCNTTTATAATGTTTAATATAAGTAATTTTCAAACTTTACATAAAAGCAATGTTTCAAGAAGAAATAAAAGCAACTTTTCAGAGTTAGTTTGGCTTTGGCTAGTCAGATATATATTTGACTAAATATTCTGTCTCTTGCATTCACTCCTAATTTTTATTTTAAATCAAATCATTTGAAAATATCAAACGTATATGTATTTAATCTACACGACAAACAGTGCAACCTGCACTCCATATCTAAATATGAACCTAACATTCATATAGTAACTATATTATAGTTGTATTCATATTTAGATATAGCTCTGTCATACAGAAGCCTATCAAATATTGGTACAAGGTCAGATAAAATTATTTAACCTTCATTCTCAATGTATATATTCTCAAAAAATATATTCTTCGATGAATTGTGAGTTTTTCATCTTATATTTAGTAGCATTTCGTTGTAATTCAATATTTGTCTAATAATTCCAACATTTTTCTAAAAATATACTGGTTCACTTTAAATTTATTTTAAAATATAAACAATAATATCATATATTAAAAATGTGTGACAAAAATACCAATGTCAATTATATAGTGCGTGAAATGAAATTATCCGATTGCAGGGAAGTGCATGAAATCTTGGAGTCCGTCGGCTTTCCGACACATAAACACCAATCAGAAGTTATTATGAATATCGACCCCAACGGCCAGTATGTGGCCCAGGATATAGACACCGGTATATCACAATTGATTGTTTAAACTTTAATAATTACTATTGATTTCATGTGACTTTGTCTCATAATATATTTACAAATATGATTAACATTTAAATATATTAAAATTAATTGAAACTGCTATAATTTAGTATCGTACAAGATCTAACATATAAAATGTCGTAGATTAATTAATGATATTTTTATGATCAGGAAAACTGTTGGGATACTTGTGTGGTGTAAGTGTGACTGAGGATTTGGCCTACTTTGGTTCCTACAGTGTGCGACCAGAATACCAGGGTCAGGGTATTGGTAAAGCATTGTGGGCTAAGACTATCGAACACTTGGGCGACAGAAATCTCGGACTTTTATCGCATAAACAAAATACATTTGAGTTTTACAGAGATGTCCGTAATTTTCGGTATATTTCCGACAGATGTGTGATTGTAATGGCCGGTCCACTGACCCCTAACCCACAACTTATTAATAATATCGATGGCATCTCTTTGGTGACCATCGATGAACACAATGTCCGCGATGTCATTGAATACGACAAACACGTTAGCGGTTTAGACCGCAGTGTACTCATTGAGAGCTTATATAAAATCCCAGAAAATATTAATCTACTAGCGATTGACGACCATGGTCATGTGGTGGGTTATTGTTTCATACATGAAACAAATATGAGGCTATATTCAGTTGAGCCCCTGTATGCTGATAATGAACGCATCGCTGAATTATTGGTCGGTAAATGTGTGGCACGTTTGCCGCCAAACCAGAAATTAATGTTTAAGTGTTGGGACAGTAGTGAAAAATCACAAGCGATAGCCATTAAACTTGGATTGAGCGAGTTTGTCCGATTGCGGACCATGTACACCAAAAAATTAGTAGACCCAGCTCATAGTGATAAAGTTTATTGTCTCACTAATACTGACTTCTATGCCTTTTGAAAATTATAAGTTTAATACAGTCTGAACTAGTTCTACATATAATAAGGCACTTGAATATAAAACCTAAATAAACTACATTTATTTTTTAAATAAAAAATATTTTTAAAATCTAATAATAATTTGTTATATAATTTTATTTATTTAAATTAAAATAGTTAATATTTACAAAATTTATTTCAAACATTATGTGTGTTATTATTGTCGTCAATAAATGTGTTAAACTTTGTGATGGCTTTCAATTTTTTTTGTAAAACTGTTATTAGTTTTCATTTTTAAAGTTTTAGATTTTAAACCTCACATTGAAATTGAAATAGTTTTCTATCTAGTAAATAAAAATCAGTTCAAAGTGTATATACTGCATATACATAAGTCTCAAGACAATATTTTTAGTGCAATAAGTATTGATTGTTTTGATTTTAAGGGAAATAACCAGTGTGACCAACCGTCCTTTATTGGAGAGGACAGTCCTCTATTTAGGGTGTCTGTCCTCTGTGCTTTAAATGAGAAATAGTGGACATTGAATGTCCTTTATTTTTGAAAATTATAAAATGCCTTATTTGGAAAAATAATTTCANTCCTTTATTTTTGAAAATTATAAAATGCCTTATTTGGAAAAATAATTTCAACACAAAACTGCTATGTAAATTGCATTTCACATTATAATCATAATAAAATACATTATCACTTTACTAGATTTGATTAAGGTGCAACAAATTTATATGATAATATGTAAATAAAACTAATGACAAAATTAGTCAAAAATTTATGCTGTGAGATCAGCAGAAAAAATATTTTCAAAAAATTGTAATTGAATTCCACTATAAAATATGTTGTCCACTATTTGTCCTCTATTNATAAAACTAATGACAAAATTAGTCAAAAATTTATGCTGTGAGATCAGCAGAAAAAATATTTTCAAAACATTGTAATTGAATTCCACTATAAAATATGTTGTCCACTATTTGTCCTCTATTTATTAAATTATTTTATCAAAATGTCCACTAATTACAAAACTTGAGTTGGTCACACTGACTACAAATGAAGTGTATACAGCTTACAATACAAATGAATCATTAGTAAAGATTAAGCTTTTATTAGTCTGAATAGGTTTAGCAAAGTAGTTTATTTATTTTAATTAATTTACATCACCTTGTTTATATCATTTTTACACAGCTTCTACATTCACATCATTGTGCTCACTACTAGCTAAATATTTGTATGATGTACCCGTGGTTGAGATCTTAATAATCAAGTAAAATATTATTGTAACGTGTTCATGAATAATGTTCCGTGTTGTATATGGTGATTATAAGTAGTAAATTTGCAGTACAGTAAACGTGGATAATGATTTATTAGTTATTAGTATTGTTAGTATTGTAATTTTCATAATTAATTTTTGTTTGTACTTACTAATTTCGGTCTCAGGTATGTTTTCCAATTTGTTGTATTTTTTGAGTTAAATATATGGAAATATGGCAATGACAAATGGTTGGACAGGGCTCAACGCACATCCCTAATTATTTATTGTGTTACAACTGGGTTAGCTATGATTTGTCTGTATAAGGCCATTCGCATGTTACCTTTGTCAGATATAAGCACCATTTCAATGTGCTCCCTGGTATTGATTGCCATATTGGCATATTACATGCTTAAGGAACCCATTACCATGATACATATTGGCACCTGCATTTTGACATTTGTAGGCGTTGTCATAATATGTCGACCACAATTTATATTTGGAGCTAGCCATGTGACTGATAGTAATAAACGAACCATGGGGATAATAATAGCGGTTATTGGCACATTTACATCTTCATTAAGTGCAATATATCAACGTATACTGAAAACTACACCGATTACTGTAACTTGCACAGGTAGCTCAATTAGTGTCATAATTATCAGCAGTTTGTACTTAACATATACAGGTGGTTGGGTGTTTCCGTGGAATTTAATTACCTGGTTGCTACTAATCGTACAAGCAATTCTTGGTATATTAATGAGCTGGTTCATGCTACTATCTGCACGCTACGAGACACCAGGGCCACTATCGCTTGTTCGCGGCTATGTTATTGTATTGGCATTCGTATGGGATGTGACTATATTTGGTGAACGTATTATATGAACGTTTATATTGGGTTGATGTCTGGTCATCACTGCTATAGTAATCGTAGCGATTAATACTATACGACAAGAATCCCCGGAAAAGTTTCGGGAAATTATTACCGGAAAAATATGTTGCATTGGGAACACTACTAATAATAATATTGATTAAAATTTTAATTAAATTAATGATTTTACTCTGTTTATTATTTTTAATTATGGGTGAAATTAATATAAAGTTTGATAAATGTAATTACTAATAAACATCTGAATTAATTAATTATTTATTTCTCTGTATTCCCNGTTTGATAAATGTAATTACTAATAAACATCTGAATTAATTAATTATTTATTTCTCTGTATTCCCGAAAAGTATTTTCAATGTTATAATGTCAATGTCATGTTAAAATATTGTAATTTAAGCAAACATTTATATGATATAAAGTAAAATATTTTAATAATTTAATATATTTTCTGTAAAATCATTTCTAAAATAAAAATTTCTATTTCAGAAATAATAGTTTCATTTACATTTAAATATTGATAATATAGTTATCATAGAAAATATTTAATTATTTATTTAAAAATAATTTTTTTATTTTTCATAATCAATTGTTTGAACAATGTCTATTAACTACGACCCTGTTAGGTAATATTATATCTAGATTAATTTATAAATTTAACATAATTTTTATAGTCAAGAGCATTGAGTTCCAAAAGTTAAAACCACCAAAAAATAGGGATGATAAACTAATAGTCTAATCACCTATACTTGATAAACTTGTAAATTTTTAAGAGCCTTAGTTATTTATGTCATAATAAACTTAATAGACATTTCTAAAATAAAAATTTCTATTTAAAAAATCATAGTTTCATTTACATTTAGATATTGATAATATAGTTATCATAGAAAATATTTAATTATTTATTTTAAAAATAATTTTTTTATTTTTCATAATTAATTGTTTGAACGATGTCAATTAACTACGACCCTGTTAGGTAATATTATATCTAAATCAATTTATAATTTTAAAATAATTTTTATAGTCAAGAGACTCATCGTGAGAAAAATGACCATGGGACTCACAAAACTATTTATGCATGGTGCGCTAAATTACCAGTCATTATACCCGCATTTGGCATAATATGCGCAATTATAGGTTTAGCAATTAATTAATTTATTTTAATAAATTAACATCACCATGTTTATATTATTTATACACAGCTGCAACATTCACTTCATTGTGCTCTCTATTAGCCAAATATTTGTATGATGTACCAGTGGTTGAGATCTTAATAATCAGGTAAAATTTTCTCTGAACTTGTTTATGAATAATGTTTGTGTTTTATGGTGATTATAAATTTTAATTCGCTGTACAGTAAATGAATTACGTGCATAAATGGGTTATGCATTTTCAATTCAAACTGTATACATAACATAATCATTGCATTTATATCTAAAATATCTAATATTGTTTATTAATCTGAGAAATGCAATGATTATGTTATGTACTGTATACAGTTTGTATTAAAAAAATATATAACCCATTTAAGCACCCAGTGGATCAAATGTAAATTGTTAGTTATTAGTATTGTAATTATCATAATTATTTTTTGTCTGTGCACACTAATTTCGGGCTCAGGTATGTTTTCCAATTCATTGTATTTTTTGGGTTAAATATTTGGAAATATGGCAATGACAAATGGTTGGACAGGGCTCAACGCACATCCCTAATTATTTATTGTGTTACAACTGGGTTAGCTATGATTTGTATGTATAAGGCCATTCGCATGTTACCTTTATCAGATATAAGCACCATTTCAATGTGCTCCCTGGTGTTTATAGCCATACTGGCATATTACATGCTTAAGGATCCCATCACAATTGTACATATTTGCACCTGCATTTTGACATTTGTAGGCGTTGTCATAATATGTAGACCTCAATTTATATTTGGAGCTAACCATGTGTCTGATAATAATAAACGAACCATGGGGATCATAATATCGGTTATTAGCACGTTTGTAGCGTCAATAAGTACAATATATCAACGTATACTGAAAACTACACCGATTACTGTAACCTGCTCAGGTAGTGCAATTACCATCGTTATTATTGGTTGTATATTCTTAACACATAATGGTGGTTGGGTGTTTCCATGGAATTTAATTACCTGGTTGCTACTAATCGTACAAGCAATTCTTGGTATATTAATGAGCTGGTTCACCCTACTTTCTGCACGATACGAAACACCAGGGCCATTATCGCTTGTTCGCGGCTATCTTATTGTATTATCATTCGTATGGGATGTGACTATATTTGGTGAACGTATTATATGGACATCAATAGTGGGCTCATGTCTGGTCATCATTGCTATAGTAATCGTAGCGTTAAATACTATACGTAAAGAATCTCCGGAAAAGTTTCGGAAAATTATTACCGGGAAAATCTATAGCACTGGCAACTCTAATGATAATAATACTGTATAAAAAATTTTAACAAAATTTTATTTCATTTGAATTAAGGATTTGAACCTGTTTATTATTAAATAATATGGGTGGACAACATGCAAAAGAAGGACATTTATTTTACACTGCAAAGTGTATACATAACCTAATCAATGTTTTCAATAATACCACATAATGTTTCTTACTTATGAAAAGCACTGATTAGGTTATGTATACAGTTTGCAGTGCAAAATAAATGTCCTTCTTTTGCATGATAGCCACCATTTGTTAACTATACTTGAAATTCATATAAAGTTTAATAAATGTAATCAATAATAAAAAAATCTATTATTATACAATACTGTGCTTTTTATCAGTGCATATAAACTTAATATAATATGTCATATCAAATAATGTACCAATAAACTTGGTGTAACAAATTGCACCTATGACAAATTATCAATTTAAGCACAATTTTTGATTATCATAATTAAATGTACATACTGTACATGTGCTTGTAGCATTTAAAACGTATTCCACTATAGTGGGTTGAGTGGTGTTTGTCGATTATACAAAATATTAACTAAATATATTGCATTAGTACAAATAACTTTATAAATACTAATAATTATTCGTAATGTACAATAAATGATAAAATTAATAATTTAAATAAAACTATTGATATGTAGCCAAATATATCGATTAAATCAATCGATGAATACAAATGAAGAATTAACTGAAGAGTTTACTCATTCAGACTAATAAAAGCTTTCAAACTTATAGTTATCAATGATAACTTATCATGATACAAACTAATGTAAACACTGTACAAGTGCTATACAGTGAGTACATACCTTTCAACCGCTACACTACAAACAGTGTGACCAACCGTCCTTTATTGGAGAGGACAGTCCTCTATTTAGGGTGTCTGTCCTCTGTGCTTTAAATGAGAAATAGTGGACATTGAATGTCCTTTATTTTTGAAAATTATAAAATGCCTTATTTGGAAAAATAATTTCAACACAAAACTGCTATGTAAATTGCATTTCACATTATAATCATAATAAAATACATTATCACTTTACTAGATTTGATTAATCCTTTATTTTTGAAAATTATAAAATGCCTTATTTGGAAAAATAATTTCAACACAAAACTGCTATGTAAATTGCATTTCACATTATAATCATAATAAAATACATTATCACTTTACTAGATTTGATTATGGTGCAACAAATTTATATGATAATATGTAAATAAAACTAATGACAAAATTAGTCAAAAATTTATGCTGTGAGATCAGCAGAAAAAATATTTTCAAAACATTGTAATTGAATTCCACTATAAAATATGTTGTCCACTATTTGTCCTCTATTTATTAAATTATTTTATCAAAATGTCCACTAATTACAAAACTTGAGTTGGTCACACTGGAAATAACATAAAAAGTATTTTGAAAAAACTTATTAATGGTTTATTTTTGTTGATTTCTGACTATATTTTCAGTATTTTAGTGCCAATCGTGATTGTAAAACATAAATTCATAAAACTCAGATGAATAATAAAATTTGATTATACATTGTACTAACGATTCAATGAAATACTGTATACCTTAATTATCATTAACTATAAAAGTAATTATTAAAATAATTTAAAATAAAAGAAATCACTGATAAATAATGAATTAATTTTTAAAAATTAATTGTAATAGATTTTGCAAACTCAGTTTAATTTATTTTTAAATAATATAATTGAGATTTAAAAATATGAAATCAATTAACTATGTTTATATTAGTGTCAATTATTATTAAAAGGCTACAAAATTGTCCTGTCCATTTATGATGTAAAAGAAATCTATTCTTGATACTGTATTATATCAATGGTATTAATATTTAGATATAGCTCTGTCATACAGAAGCCTATCAAATATTGGTACAAGGTCAGATAAAAATATTTAACCTTCATTCTTAATGTAGATAAATAACATATTTTTCGATGAATTGCTATATTCGTATTATTTACGTATATATTTAGTAGCATTTCGTTGTAATTCAATATTTGTCTAATAAATCCAACAATTTTCTAAAAATATACTGGTTCACTTTAAGTTTATTTTAAAATATCATAAACAATAATATCATATATTTAAAAATGTGTGACAAAAATACCAATGTAAATTATATAGTGCGTGAAATGAAATTATCCGATTGCAGGGAAATACAAGAAATCTGGGAGTCCGTCGGCTTTCCGACACATAAACACCAACCGGAAGTTATTATGAATATCGACCCCAACGCCCAGTATGTGGCCCAGGATATAGACACCGGTATATCACTCTTGATTGTTTAAACTAGATTAATTACTGTTCATTTCATGTGACTTTTTCTCATAATATATTTACAAACATGATTAACATTTAAATATATTAAAATTAATTGAAACTGTTATAATTTAGTATCATGCTAAATTACACAATTTAACATATAAAATTTCGTAGATTAATTAATGATTTTTTTATGATCAGGAAAACTGTTGGGATACTTGTTTGGTGTTAATGTGGCTGAGGATTTAGCCTACCTTGGTTCCTACAGTGTGCGACCAGAATACCAGGGTCAGGGTATTGGTAAAGCATTGTGGGCTAAGACTATTGAACACTTGGGCGACAGAAATCTCGGACTTGTATCGTCTGAACAAAATACATTTGAGTTTTACAGAGATGTCCGTAATTTTCGGTATATTTCCGACAGACGTGTGATTGTAATGGCCGGTCCACTGACCCCTAACCCACAACTTATTGATAATATCGATGGCATCTCTTTGGTGACCATCGATGGACACAACGTCCGCGATGTCATTGAATACGACAAACACGTTAGCGGTTTAGACCGCAGTGTACTCATTGAGTTCTTTTATAAAATCCCAGAAAGTATTAATCTACTAGCAATTGACGACCATGGTCATGTGGTAGGCTATTGTTTCATACCTGAAACAGATATAGGGCAATACTCAGTTGAGCCCCTGTATGCTGATAATGAACGCATCGCCGAGTTATTGGTCGGTAAATGTGTGGCACGATTGCAGCCAAACCAGAAATTAACGTACAAGTGTTGGGACAGTAGTGAAAAATCACAAGCGATAGCCATTAAACTTGGATT